ATACTAATGCAGCGTGTTATACCGGAGACAAATTCCTTGTGTATTCTACATACTTGGCCAATAAAGACGATACTGATTCTGATTCTATACCCGTCAATCAATAATTCTGTTGTTTATGTAAACATTTGATTCAAAATATACAAGTATATGGATGGAATACTGTACAAAAGTTAAGTCATTACAAAAATCTCTCAAGTACAAGTCAAAAAATGATTTGCTAAAAAGAATATTCAAGTACCGAGTAGGCTAACTGCTTGAGCATGAAGTCTGATTATTTTTTTTTAAACAATGTCATCAGATAGACAAAAACATAACATTATGTGCACATGCTTGCATCTTCAAATCATAAAAATAATACCAGCCTATATCTTACCAATCTTGTGATCTCGATGGGTCTTGTCTCCATTCCATGTCAGGTCGTCTGGGCACATTGTTTGCATCCTGATTAGCGTCTGGCTCATATATGTAAGGTCTAACGTAAAATTCCAACCTCCTCTTCTTCCTCCAACTCTTCAAAAACGTGGATATCCTCACTTGCGCTGGATCGATCGCTTGTATCGCTGTTTGAATCATTGTTTGAAATGCTTTGCATGTCTGCCATATGGAACTCTGCCATCGCTGTTCTCCATGTGACGTATCACTTCCGGGTTCCGCCCCTTTTGGGCTGGAACTTCGGAAAATCGATTATTTTGTCAAATATACAACATATAAATTATTTTTTCATGCTTTATTTAGTGGACAATGTTTAAGTACGTTCATTGTGACCCTATTTGGCATTTCATGAAATTACTTCACACTTGGCCTTTAAAACCCTGATCGGAACATCCCAAGTAAAACCCATAAATCAATGACACAAATACAGCAGAGACCGTAAAACCCCCAAATAATGCTGAGTCTCATGCTCAGTCAAAAACTCTACAGTAAAATTGTGCTTTAAGACAAGTTTTAAAAATCGAAAAAGGGAATTTGGCTCACATTTAATGGAAGGGCCTTCCAAAAGGATGGACCGGCAACGGAATAGGCTGAATCACGTCTGAGCCATTGCGTTGTCTTCGGTCCCTTCAGCGGTGTCTGGTGTGTTGACCTCCAACAGAGCAGGTTAGAAGAGGTGGAGTAGCTCATCGAGGTATGATAGTGTGAGACCCTTTAGAGCTTTGGAAACAAAAGTATCTTCATATAAACTCTAAAATTCAAAGAGAGCCATTGAAGGGAAGCCACAGTTGGAGTTTTGTGCTCCCTCCTACGAGCACTAGTTAGTGCAAAATGTTGTAGCTTGCCTTCTAACTCGAGAAACATAAGGGAGGACTGGCTAACGCCAAAATAAAGTGTTACATTAATCCAGCCGAGATGTAATGAAGTGTTGTTGAGAAGAGAGAGCCATATTAGCCAGTTGCCTACAATGAAAAAAAAAATGGACTGACCAACAGCACCAATTGGCCTATCCAATTTAAAATCACTGTCCAATTTGAAACCTGGGTTCGAGATTAGTGACTTTAGATAAGGCGCCAGGGGGCCCAATTGCATGGTTTTGTTTTTTCTCAAGGCATGTATAATTGGGTATCATTGTCATAACAGTGAAAATGAATGTTTATGTATAATATCAACACGTAGAAGCATGTACAGTAGTTTAAGAAGAGAAAGAAATAGAGGGCCGAGTACCGATTCCTGCGGTATACTCCACATTACAAAACTCAGAAGTTGCATTGCCATGAATTACATGGTGCATCCTCTCTAAGATGTAAGAACTAAGATAAGAAAGTGCAGAGTCTCAAATACCAAGACACGTTTCAAGGCCTCTTAATAGTACGTTATGATGGATGGTGTCAACGGCAGCGCTAAGATCGAGGAATAATATTATTGAAGAGGTGTCGGAGTGATCTAAGCACCATATCTGAGTTAATAAGTCATTCTGTGTTTAAATCAGCAGTGTCCAACTTTGGTCCTCGAGGGCCGCAATCCAGCATGTTTTAGTCTCCTTCTCAAACACACCTGATTGGTCAGCTTGAGCACAAGTCCTCATTTTTGCTAGTATAATCGACTTAGCAGTGGCATTTGAACAATGCACATCACACACACAGTAACCACAAAGTGGCATTGTCATGGCATTTGTTATTCCACTATAATTAAACTTTTTGTTGTTGTTGTTTGTTGGTATTCCCTGTAGGGAGTCTAACGACTACATCGATCATGTCTACCACTCATTAATGTCCCAGCTCAACCAAGACCATGCTGAGATCCGTCTGTCAGCCTTTCAGATAGCCAGTGAACTTTTCCCCAAATCACATCACTTCAGAACCCTCCTGGTGGACAACTTCCAGGTACTGGGGTAAATTTTACCTTTAATTTTACAATATTCCCTGTAAAAGTATATTCTGAGTTAAAATACTAATCATAACTGCTAATGGAACCGGCCAACTTGCTTGGTGGTGTGTCTGCTGAGAGAAGAAATGCTGTTCCAGTTTTTCTCAGTCGCTTTGGCACGTTTCTCAGACCAGAATTGAAATTTGCAAAACAGCAAGTGCATTCATACAAATGGCAAAACATTATGGTTCCCATGCAAAACCCATTTTCTTTCTCAAAATCCTCAGTACATCTTATTTGTATCACATGTGAGTGCCATGAGAACCACGTCTTTGTGTCACTGTGTATGTGTAAGAGTCAAAATGCTGAGTCATGTTATCAATATAATAGTGTGTTCTGGAAGGATGTTCTGATGTTAACTGCTGCTTAAGTTTTCTTGACAAAATCAGTATTTTACATTGAAAAGTTACAGCTTCTTGCATGTGGACGATTGACTGCAAGAGACTGGTTTAGATGCAAATGTCACTTTTACTGTAATTTGTTGACAAACTACGTCAGTATGATACAGAAGGAAAAAGATAGCACTGCATATTACAAAGAAAAAAACAAATCAAAACTAGAGCTGCAAGCTACTGAAAGGGCCCTATGAGCTATTATGAGAAAAAATTACCTCTGTAAAATGTCAAAAATAAGGCAAAATTTGAAAGGAAATTAACTATTTTTAGGTCTTGGGCTTTTTACATGTGCCTGCCACTTTTGGTAGGTCTCGGTGAAATGTTCAACTGGGGCTATTTTGTTCAAAAAATTGGGGCTCAACCATGCTATTTTTTTGTTTATTTATTTATTTATTTAACTGCAGAATTACCTACTGTAATTTCTATTCCCGTAAATTCAAGTCTGATCTCAGAAATGAACCAAAGCAACTGAGAAAAACTTTTATATCTTACGGCTCAGTTCAGGAGGGTGTGATGCACTGAATTTGTTGTTGTCATTTTACATACAAACTGTATGACTGAACTTGTCAGTAAGGATGAGTATTGTTTAGATTTTAATGATACTACTACTTTTAACGCTACTGCCTATCAATCGGGTACTTTAACGGTGTTCTTCTACTTATGGTATTTTTTTTTTGTTGAGAAAAACACCAAAACAAAGGTATTCAAATTAATGCTGCTGTCTTTGTTTGTGTGTTTAAAATGAATGTACTGTACTTATCTTGCAGCTAAAATAAATAACGAGATGGTTTGAACAAAATTTTAAAAAGTCATATTTGAGACTGTATCTTTCACTGACAAGGACAATTAAATTGATTCTGATTCTACTCAGTCATCCAGATCTATCACGAAAGTATCTTAGTAGGCTGTGTTTGTGTTATCTCATTATGAGCCATCCTCTCTGGCAGGAATTCTTGGAGTTGACTGTAGAGACCAACATTGAGCGGCCTCTGCCCCCTCCTCAACTAGTAGCCAGGAAACTTAGATCACTTGCTATCCAGACTATCCAGACCTGGCAGTCCTCTTATGGGTCAGCATATAAGAAGTTGGAGCTGGGTTATTATTTTCTCAAACAGTTTAAAAAGGTGAGCAATATAATTGGTCTTCTCATTGCCCATTTACATTGACATGACATAATTCATGTGGATAAATGTTGAGCATATTTTAATCCTGGCAGCATGGTTGTTGACTGGTTAGCAAGCACGTCCATGTCACAATGCAGAGGTGCAGGTTTCAATTCCGGCTTCGGCCTTTCTGTGTGGAGTTTGCATTTTCTCCCCGTGCCTGCGTGGATTTTCTCCGGGTACTCCGATTTCCTCCCACATTCGAAAAACATGCATGCAATGGAACACTCCAAATTGTCCCGAGGTGTGAGTGTGAGTGCGAATGGTTGTTTGTCTATGTCCGTGATTGGCTGGCAACCAGTTCAAGGTGTACTCCGCCTACTGCCCGAAAACAGCTAGGATAGGCTCCAGCACTCCCGCGATCCTCGTAAGAATAAACAGATTAGAAAATGGATGGATAATAATAGTGACAATAATAATTTATAGAATAACAATAACAATAATAATAATACTAAGTATTATTCATCCATCCATTTTCTGAATTGTCATTTGAAACATGCTTGATGTATTTCTTTTGGTTTTCTCTGAGTGATATTAAAATGGGTTTGATGATTTGAAACCTTTGTGTGGCTAGATGTGCCCCCCCCCCCCTCAAAAAACAACCCAGAAATCAGGAAGTTGGCAAATACTGTACTTTTTTCACAACACTCTATTTGTATGAACAATGGCAACTCGATAAAGAGTATTTTGAAACATTTTCGAAGAGATCAATTGCTAATCTTACCTCATAATACACACATTTTTTGGGTTTTCTTAGGTGGACTTTCAGGATGCTGAGGCCAGGACAGTAGCAGAGCGAGAACGAGAAACTGAGAGACAAAGGAAAATGGAGAGGATATACAGCAAGAGACTGAAAGCAGCCATGAGAGATATGGAGGGTAAATGCAAAGTACTGTATTTCCCACGACCAGAAGATGCACATTAGAGTCTTACATTTTCTCCAAAATGGACGGGGCATCTAATAAATGCGGGTCACCTATGCACCAAAAAAATCTGTGAATGCTGTTGTTGCACAAAAGGTTCTGTCAGCTCAACAGGACCTAAACCACTCAAGGGCGCTACCGCCAATGCCCACCAAGTGCTGCAAACGAGCCAACGGAATACTGTGATCCACTGTATCAAATGCTGCAGTTAAATCATATTAGTCCACACCAAGGTTATTTTAGTTCACGAAAATTAATGAAATAACTAAAACTAAAATGGAAAAAACATCAAAATGCGGATGTGTTTGTAAAGTGTCATGAGTTTTCATGAATGTTTAGACCAGTGGTTCTTAACCTTGTTAGAGGGACCGAAACCAACCATTTCATATGCACATTCACCGAACCCTTTATTAGTGAAAAATAAAAATGTTTTTTTTTTTTTTTTAACAAATTCAAGACATAAAAAACGCATTTATTAAAAACAGAAAAAAAGTAATCACAATTAGAATAAGTATAAAGTTGAAGTTTTTTAATTGTGCACAAAATGAACTAGCCAGTGATGGCCAAGCGGGCTTGTCATAACTAATTGACATGTTGAGTCGGGTGTGTCTTAACCTCCATGGCAGAGGCTCTGTCGAAACCCTGAGACTGATTCACCGAATGCCTTAGAACCACTGGTTTAGACCCTTAAATCTAGCGTTGTTATCTTGCCGAATAACATGGCAACAGCTTTTTGTGAAAATTCACAAACTTCGTGTTGCAACATCTTGAAGTCCTAAACATGCTTTGCACAAATATGAGGTGGTCAACTCGCTTGGAGAGAAACATCAAAGCGTAAAACATATTTCCTTCAGCCAATAGGTGGTGCTGCCACGATAAAACCATTTATCTTCAGGCCGAGACTCATCATCTTTGTCAAATATTGACACGATATAATCATGAGGGTCAAGTTACAGAAGATTTTGTAGTCAAGGCAAGGCCAAATTTTAAAATAAATTCAAAACGGCGGAGTTCCTGTTAGGTGTCGCCTATGGATCAAAAGGACTTTTTTGTTGGTCTTGGGTGATTTACCGATACCACCAAATTTTCATTGCTCTTGGTGAAACGGACAACCGGAGCTGCTTTGTTAAAATTTCCCTTGAATCCAAAAGCTATAACTTGAGGATATCTTTTAAAACATTCTGACATTTGATGATAGTCCAGGTATGATGACAACTACAAACTTATTTTTCAGCATTGTGATTGTGCCACCTACTGGCTAAAGCAAATGCATGATTTATTCTTTGATGTTTTATTCACAGGCGGCACGGTGAAACAGTGGTTAGCACGTCTGCCTCACATTGTAGAGGTGCAGAATTCAATTTCAAGCCCCAGCCTTCCTGTGTGGAATTTGTGATTGTGAGCCTGAATAGTTATTTGTCTATGTGTGCCCTGCGATTGGATGGCAACCGGTTCTGGGTGTCCCCCACCTACTGCCTGAAGACAGCTGGGATAGGCTCCAGAAGGCATCCAGAAAATTGATGGATGGATGGATACATGGATAATAATAAAAATAATAATTTCTACAAAACAATAAGGACCTCGCAGCGTTCGCTGCTCTGGCCCTTATAAGAATATTACTACTGTAACTACTACTACTACTACTACAGTCATACCTTGGTTTTCGACCATAATTTGTTCCAGAAGGCTGTTCGAAAACCGAAATCACGCTCTTTTAAAAAAAAAAAAAATCTTTATTGAACACGTCTGTTCACCATGGAACGATAAACGAGGAAGCGTCACTTCCTCGTCTACCCGAGGAAGCGTCACTTCCTCGTGTAAGGAAGGCGAGAGGAGTCAAGTGATGCTTTCAAGTGCACTCAGTTTGTTCGAGAACCGAAATTCGGTTGTCATCCGAGGCATAAAAAACTCGAAATTTTTGGTCGAAAACTGATTGGTCGAGAGCAGAGACATTCGAAAACCGAGGTTTGACTGTACTACTACTACTAATACTACTACTACTACTATGACTATCCATCCATCCATCCATTTTCCGAACCGCTTCATCCTCACTCGGGCCGCGGAGGGTGCTGGAGCCTATCCCAGCTGTCTTCGGGCAGTAGGCGGGGGACACCCTGAATCGGTTGCCAGCCAATCGCAGGGCACACAGAGACGAACAACCATCCACGCACACATTCACACCTAAGGACAATTCAGAGTGTTCAATTTGCCTACCATGCATGTTTTTGGAAAGTGGGAGGAAACCGGAGTACCCGGAGAAAACCCACGCAGGCCCGGGGAGAACATACAAACTCCACACAGGAGGCCGGAGCTGGGATTGAACCCGGTACCACTGCACTGTGAAGTCGACGTGCTAACCACTGGACTACCAGGCCGCCCCTACTATGACTAATCTTCTTCTTCTTCTTCTCCTTTCGGCACGTCCCCATTCAGGGGTCGCCACAGCGAGTCAGTAATTTCCATCCGCCCCTGTAAACCGTCCTACCAACTCGCATGGTCGTCTTGGCAAAAGTTTTACGCCGGATGCCATTCCTGACGCAACCCTCCCCATTTCTCCGGGCTTGGGACCGGCACTGGGGAACAGTGCACCCCCAGGGGAGGGCACTGCCCCCCAGCGGCTGGGTTCGCCCCTACTATGACTAATAATAATAATAATAATAATAATAAGTAAAGTTCATTCTCAATAATAATAAGTGGATTAGAAAATGGATTAATAGTAATATCCATCCATCCATTTTCCGATCCAATTCATCCTCACAAGGGTCGCGGGGGTGCTGGAGCCTATCCCAGCCGTCTTCGGGCAGTAGGTGGGGGGACACCCTGAACCAGTTGCCAGCCAATCGCAGGGCACATAGAGACGAACAACCATCCGTGCTCACACTCATACTTAGGGACGATTTAGAGTCTTTAATTAACCTTCGTTGCACGTTTTTGGAATGTGGGAGGAAACCGGAGTACCCGGAGAAAACCCACACAGATACGGGGAGAACATGCAAACTCCATACAGGAAGGCCGAAGCCGGGATCGAAACCACAACCTCTGCACTGTGAGGTCAACGTGCTATCCATTGGACCACCAGGCTGCTTTTAATAATAATAATAATAATAATAATAATAAGAAGAAGAAGAAGAAGAAGAAGATGATTCCAAAAACTAAGTTTCTTGCAGCAGTCTCTGCGCCAGCCTTAATAAGCTGGGCAATAAAAGTAAAACTCTGTACCTCTATGCAAAGTAACAATGTGTAGGGAGTTATGGTGAATTTTAATTCGAATAGAAGACTGTATTTAGGGATGGGTTGGAACAGATTCATTGTATTTCCATTCATTTTAATGGGGAAAGATGTGAGATGTGTTTTTGTCACGAGCGTGATCACAGAATGAATTAAAACTGTCATCTCAAGGCACCAGTCTGTGAGGTAAATCAGATTTTTTCAACAATAACAATTTTTAACAAAATATTATTCCTTTTACAGACTCCTCCCCAGATATTGAGGTTGCACTGACAGAATTAGACTCCTGTTTGAAGCTGCTTTCCCATGAGTTCCCCCTTCTAGACAGCCTGACAACTAACAGCTGCCCGCTCACACAACCAACCACTGGATGTTTGTCGGATGATGAACAACCCTGCTGTAGCAAAAACTTAATGAATGACAGAACACAGAAGATGCAAGAAAGCAAAGAAAATGACAATGAGAATAGAGAAGAGTGGGAGGAGAAAAAAACAAAGAAAAAGAAGCATAAAAGGTCTGAAAATGAAGAATTAAACAGGAGTAACAAACAGAACAAAGGTGAGATGGAAGGGGAACAAAGGTATAAGATGAAACATGAGGACAAGACCAGACGTGAAGCAGAAGAGGAGGACCCCCTTCATGGAGACTCATTTATTCGAAACTCTGGCCTTATCTCTCGCTCATATTGTCTGGACTTGAACCTTAGTCATGGTAAGTGCAATTTTTCAATTTCACAATATTTGAAAGCGAAATGTCACCTGCATTTTGAAGAATTTGTCTTTGTGAAAGATAGCCGCTTATACTGCACTACACTACCAGTGTATTTCTGATGCACACCCCAAAAAAATAATATCTCCGGTAAATATCCGATTTGGAGATAACGAGGTATTTTGTAATTTGCACACCCCAATTCCAATCATGTTGTCGAAAACATAATAAATGAAAGATAACGATTTACAATTCCCCTTTAACTTTAGTTCACAAGTACATGACAAAGACAAGATTTTGATGTTAAAAATGAAAAAAAAAAACATTTTATCTGCAAATATTCACTCATTTTTAATTTGATCTCTAACACATTCCAAGAAAGCTGTGACAGCATTATGAGAGGCGCAGGGTTTCCTGCCTTTCCTGACTCCTGCCAGGCTATGGTATGACCATTTTGGGCCGGACCGGTACTTCAATTATTGCGAGCTATCATCAGTTTATTAGTGGCATTTAAACAAAACAAAAACCATCAAATAATACTATTGGTTATTGTGTTAGTTTTTTGGTAAATACATCATCTGGAAAAAGAATTGCTATTGTGACAGGCCTACCTATACATAATGTAAATACAATACACTGACTAAAAAAAAAATATATATATATATA